TGACGGTTACTGCTATCTTGGTCGCAACTTTACCGAACAAAACAGTCTGTAAACATGGATCTTGCAAATGCTTCGCACGATTGCCTTATATGCAGATGTCAGTTAAGAACTTGGAACAATGCGCAGCGATCAATGGGTTCCTAAATATGAAATTTTGTTTCAAAACATGCTCTTAAGTCTGTACACTTTTTTCCCACATTGTCTTTTCATATAGAGCCATCCGCTTACTGTTTGATGAAGACGATGGCTTGGAAACTCCTCACGAATCTACCAAACTTCTTCGTGAGCTGCTGCTAAAGGTTAACTCTGCCATTTCTTATGCTTGAGCACCAAAGAAACATTTTTAGCACTTCAATATACAAAACAAAGTTGACATCTTGGAGCATCTCTACAGCAAATTTCAAAAGTCGAACATTGCATCATTTACGAAAACTATGGCGCAGCGTAAGTAGGAAACCTCAGCGAAGTCGTGAATTGTTCAAAAAAGTCTATTAATTTAGATAGCGACGACCCAATGATACATAAACTATTTTTTGACGCAGGTGAAATCCTCGGCAAGCAATTTGTGGTTGCAGCTGGTCATTTGCCAAGTGTAAGACGCTCTACTAAAAATTCAAAGGATTCAACTTGGCAGCTCGCACTTCCCCTTGAACTCATATTTTCAGGACCAACGTGCCGAAGTCAATCTTGTTTTAGTCGGGTCGGTTTTCAAGTCATGGAATGTGATAAAAGAAGGTTAGTTGCTACTAAGGTATAATAAAATATATGGTTAGCTTTCAAAATAGACAGTAAACTAGGGCGGGTGTAAATGGAATTAAAATCCTAGATTATTTCTGGGTTACTTTCAGCAAATATGAAGGTGTCCAATAAGTTTTGGAGACTGAAGACAATTTTCGAAATCTTGTTTTTAAAAGGCTTGTCGAGGGAATTTTCATTATATAACGTGAACATGTGGAAGCGTCGAGCAACTTCTGAAGTAAAGATATCTCATTCGAATTATTTGAGCTAGGAGTAACCT